GACACCCCTTCCGAAAAACTTCCTGTGAATAGATCTCTGGCACGAATAGCACTGATGTTTTGCTATGAATACTATCATTGTTAAACATATGTTAATCGTAAGAGTGTAATATTAATATATAGTTTTAGTTTAAAAAAAAAACAAAATAACAATGTTATAAAACATAACAACTATTTAATGGAACTCCTATTGACATTTTAATTTATTAAATTTAAGTTTGGGCGGAGGAGGAAGGATTATATCCCCTTGTAATTCTAGTTCTAGACATTAAGGTAATGGGGAAAAGGTTTAATTAAAAAATAACTTATCATCATAACGCCTTGGAATTCGAGAAGCAAAGATTTAGCTTATCTATTGTAAGTTAAACATTGTTCAAAAGTAAAGTACTATAAGGAAAGAAATTTAGTACTTGTTATCTCAGCGAAATTCTCTCTCCCCCCCTCTCAAATTTCTTGATAGCCTGCAGTTAATGCTGTTCTGGAGTATACATCATTTATCATTAATGGGATTTAAGTAAACATTATTTCGCCAATATATTTTTAAAAATATTTATTGACTTTTATGATTTATTGAATTTTTTTTCTGGAATTTTATTTGTTTCTTACAAAACTGATACTTATTTTATTTTATGTAAGTATCCTGTTTACCTCACATATATATGTCGTTGTTTACTCGCTACAATATATAGACATATCATCGTTGCAATATTTGTAGTCGCTACAATATATTTACATATTTCGTCGTTGCATTATATATATCTGACGTCAAATTTCACAATATATACATATGGTTTTTTGTCGTTACAATTTATATTAGGTTGTTACAATATATGTATGTATTCATTCGCAATAGTATATGTATATAGTTTTTCCAAATGCATGACCGAGACGAGCCTTGAACTTGCAAACTCAGTCTTGGTCATGGTCTTGGTCTTGCGCAAGAGTCTTGCAAAAGTCTTGCAGTTACTTATTAGCTTATTACTATAGAGATATTACTGTAATTTTTTAGATAGGATAAACCTAACTAAGCCTGAATGAAACATTAGAGGAGTTAAATACGAAAGTATATTGGTTATACTAATTATTAACATATAGTAACTAAAATAAAAGAACTTAATCAGCGAAACTGACTTCTTTCTAGGCTACTTGACAGACGTTCAAAATTATCTGTGACTAATAAATTAACTATTTACAAAGTCCTCATTAAACCACTTTGGACATATGGAATCGAACTATGGGGAACAGCAAAGACATCAAATATAAAAATCATCCAGTCATTCCAGTCAAAAGTCCTTCGGAAAATTGTAGACGCACCCTTTTATGTTTCAAACCTCACGTTACACACTGACCTTAACACTCCTTTCATCACGGCAACTGCCACTGACCGCTTTAATAATTTTCATGACAGACTGACTCTAAATTCCAATCCACTTACTCAAGCTCTATCTACTGCCACAAATCCATATAATCCGCCCAGAAGACTGCTGAGGCGCTGGCCAAGAGACTTATTGCATTGAGCTACTTGCTGTATTATCTTTTTTGTGTGTTATTTATTATTTATGAGTTATTATGTGTTATTTTACTACTGTTTATTTATGTTTTATTTTTGTTTTGTTATTACTATTTTTTTTTTTATGCTATCATTTATTCTCCTTGATATCATATTTGCTGAATACCGAGGTAGATGGCAAATTTATTGTGAGCCAGAATATGTAAACTAATAAATATATAATTGGTAATTGGTTGACTGTCGTGGATAATGAAGAGAAGAATAGTTGGGGTGCTCAGTCAAAAAGGAAGGCAAAAATAAATTATAATATTTATTTTTTACATATGCCGACGTTTCGACCTGAAGTTCAGGCCTTCATCAGGGCTAAAAAAATAACCAGATAACAAGTATGAGAAACATAAGTAATGATGGTAAAAAAGATAATAAATAAATGAGAAAATAAATCTTAAAAAAAAATGTTGAATTCAAATGCAAATAATTTGTACATTTAGCTTAGCGTTTAGTTCAAACTTCGTCGATAACCGTTAGAGATGACGCCACCTACACATCTCTTCTCTCTCCCCCTCCCTTGTAACGACTTTTATTCTCCCTTGACACTTAAGGAGAAAGGTAGTACTTCTTTTATTTCTTTCTTATTTCAGCTTTCTCAATTTCTTCCCTCCTTCCTTTCATTCATTTTCTCTGTTTTTAACTCTTTATTATATTATACATTGTCTGTACATCTTGATAGACTTTACAATATCTCAATTTTCTATCTAACTACTCCATTCTCAATGTTTTAATTTTACTATTTATTTTATTTCATTTCTTATATAACTTTATATTTCTTTTTTATGTTTTTACATTTTATTCTAAGATTCCCATTGTAACACTTTTGTCACCCCTTTTTGATTATGCCTACTTCATCATTCCACACTATGTAACAGTTTTTATTATTTATCTCTTAGTTCTTAGTCATTATTCTAACAATTTCATTTTACTTTATATCTATCTATTTTATTTTTCTAATATTTTTTTTATTTATTTTTTATTTTTTATTATCTTTTTTACCATCATTACTTATGTTTCTCATACCTTGTTATCTGGTTATTTTCTTAGCCCTGATGAAGACCTGAACTTCAGGTCGAAACGTCGGCATATGTAAAAAATAAATATTATAATTTATTTTTGCCTTCCTTTTTGACTGAGCACCCCAACAATTTCAATATAACGAGATTATATAGTACAAACGGCCCAATATTTTTGCAGAATATATTTTTTCTCGATTTTGTGATCAAATTATCTTACGATTCAAGTAGAAAGCAAATGAGTATTTACGAGTTTTTAGTACCTAATTAAATAGACAAAGTTTGCTCCCCTCCAGATTGAAAACGCCCCAATTCCAAGAGTTTTTCTGGCGATTGTTAATAATTTGAATAGTGGTCTGTACCACGCGCTATAAGAATAGGCAACATTCTAAATTCCAAAAATTGTGAGTACAGAACCGCCAATTCATATTTTAATTTTAATTTAAATTGGTCAATGTTAACTATTGTTATTAGAGAACTGCCTTCCCAATTCCTTGCACCGCCTCCGCTATCTTAGGATGAGAACCGTTGGCCAGCTGACTAGATCTTAATTAATTAATTAATTTGAAAGCTCAGCCAGAAGATGGAGCCAGCTGCTAGTTGCCAACTTGCTAATTGCTAATTGTAATTAACCCTTCGCTCTCAAGCTCAGGAGCCAAGTCATCCCCATGACTTCAACTTATCAACAACTTATTGTTTTGATCATGGACTGATTGGGGTATTTCTTCTGAATATACAACTCTTTATAGTTTATTTGTTATATTTTCTATATATATATATATATATATATATATATTTAGGAATAACTTAACATACTGCTAGTTTGGAAGAACACCGTTAACAAACTAAAAAAAAAACGCTGCAAATTATTTCACAATGGTTTATTATTTCCAAACAACTATACAGCTAAAGTAACATTACCTTCCTAGTTACAAAGAAAAATAAATAAAAGGTGATTACAATTATTAGACTAAACTTTTTTTTTTAATCATTAGTAATATGCTAAAAAAAAAATAGCATTGCTTCAGTAACACATTCAAAATTTAAAATCCGAACAAAGAATAGAGCATTTGCTCCTTATTGTTGGATTTTAACGATTTTTTTTTTATTTTTTTTAGGAAATTCTGTAAACTTTTAAAAAACATATACAATATCAACAAAAAAGTCTATACTTTTTTAGTTATTCGGAATTTAATTTTACCATCCCTCGTAACTTTTTTTCCAGTTTCTTTTCGTTGAAGTATGTTTTATAAATAAATTTAAAGAGTGTCGAGAAAATGACTTTAGCGAAGTTTCATTGAAATCGGTACATTCGCTTAGGAGCTACAGTCTATACAACGCCGCCATTTCGAAAGTAAAAGGCGGATAGTAATGTCGATGAAGGAGGATCATCCTCGGGTGACCTCTGATTTTATATCCAAATTTGAAAAAGAATCGATCCAGTAGTTTCGGAGAAAATGCGCGGACGGAGGCCTGACAGAAAAAATTTTTTATTTGTTTTTCGAATTCTTGATGCATCCTGCAAATAAGGTGAGGCAGTTTATGAATGAAATATAAAATTCATTAACTGTCTCACCTTTTCCGATTTATTTTGAGAAAAAAAGATCAAGAAAACCACTCTTACTTTTAACATACTTACTTTTATCTTCTGGATTTATTATTGATTAAAATAAAAACATATAAATATGGTATATAAAAGAAACAAAACTTTAAGTACTGAAACATTAAATTTATTTTAGATATACTTATGTAAAACTAATGTAGAAAAATAAAATAGTAGACAGTGCCTTCAGGGGATACTATTGAAATTTGGAACTGTACTGATAAGTTGTCTATATAAATAAACATAATAAGGCATATATACGAATTAAATAAATCAATTAAATATATACATTATTGGCGCTTTTAGATGGAAGGTTTTTAGGTAACAAAAAAGTTGTGTTAAGTAATAATTGCAAAAGTTTGAACGTCGATAACAAAGCCGGATGCTACTAGAACCTAACCAAATTAGATGGGTTTTATTTATTGTTTCATACGGAACAAAATTACATAAGTCACATTATATAATTCGTCCCACATAAAAGACATTGTGATTTTAAAATCGTAAATTTGCACGTTTTTTAAAATTTATTTTCCATCACAACTTTCTTCAGAAGGACTTTTCCCAAAAAAAGTAATAGAATATAAAAATTTTGCTTTTAAGAACAATATGCCGACTTGTATAAGTTTTGACCACTGTGCTGCGACGGCCCTGGTCACAGCACGAAAACCTCTTGGATCGCTCAACATTAGCTTTCTGTGTGCATGATGTTTTAGTTACAAATATGTAATATTTTACTTAATATAAATGTATTTACATGTTACAGATATATTTATTTATTTAGATTTATTTAAATATATTAATGGATAACTTTGCCATTGCAGGTACGAAGATGGGCGGGTACGCTTGCGGAATCCTCACATCGAGCTTATGGACCAAGACATCCTCTACCACCTCGCCCTGGGCAGCGGCTCTCACGATCTCGTCGAGATGTTTGGAGACGTCAAGGTAAACTTATATAATTTTCATAATAAACAGTATAAGTTAATCATAATTATGGATCAATTTATCAAAATTTCCCACGAAATTCCTACAAAATTTAAATAAAAACATATTATTATTAATATTATTTTCGCTGACACAATACAATGTATTTCTGAAGACTATATTATTGTCTTTCAAATAAGCATCCATTATGTTCCAAAATATTTTAAAATTATTCAAAAAAATAATAAAAAGTAAACAGATTCCTATGGTAATAACTTTAAAAACAGTTTTAAAAAGCTGCAAATTATTCCACAATGGTAACTGCCTTCATTTTTTAGGAAATTTAAATACCTTTGAAACATCGTATTACAATATCCACAAAAAAAGAATATATTTTTTGAGTTATTCAGAATTAAATTTTACCATCCCTCGTAACTTTTTGACATACTTTTTGAGTTATTCAGAATTACATTTTACCATCCCTCGTAACTTTTTGACATACTTTTTGAGTTATTCAGAATTACATTTTACCATCTCTCTTAACTTTTTTACATACTTTTTGAGTTATTCAGAATTAAATTTTACCATCCCTCGTAACTTTTTTTCCAGCTTCTTTGCGTTGAAGTATGTTATATAGATAAATTTAAAGTAATGAAAAGGGCGTAGAGAATTTTTAATGTAAAGGGCGTAGAGAAAATGACTAGCGAAATTTCATTGAAATCGCTACATTCGTTTAGGCGCTACAGCCTACAGCAACGCAGGTTTTTCGGTCGTCATTTCGAAAGTAAAAGGCGGATAGTAATACTGATGAAGGAGGATCATCCTCGAGTGACCTCTGATCTTATATCCAAATTTGAAAAAAATCGGTCCAGTAGTTTCGGAGAAAATGCGCGGACGGCAGACGGCGTACGGCGGTACATTACGGAAGGTTATCTACCTATGATAAAGTGTTATTGTGCTTCTCAGTGTTTTGTGTTTTTCAAGTTTGTTTTGTTAGTTTTGTTGTATCGTTTCCTACTGTTTGTGTTATTTTAGTGTTTTATAGTTTTTTGAACATGATTTAGTTTTAGTTTATGTTTATTTAGTTAATTTTATAAACTTTTTGAGTGAACAGTGGAGGTTAAGGTTAACTTTGTGGTTTTCACGAAGGTTTAATCTAACCAAAAGGACGTTTAGAGACTATTACGTTGGTGAAGCACTAAGGTAAGTTCATATTAAAGTCTTACTTTTGAAGATAGGAAATTTATAAGTTCCCGAACGTAGGTTAGATTTTGAGTGTTGAATATTTCCTTCTACTGTTGTTCACCCATTATTTCAACGTATAAAGTTGTTAATTTTGGATTGCGTAAGATGGCTGATGAAATTGCATCAGCAATGGAGCAGGAAATGGTGGAAGAACAGGCTATAAAGTGCCCAAGGCCTTCAGCAAAGAGGCAAAGGAAAGGATCTCCTGACGCCCGAGAAGAAACAGATAAAGAACGTGTAGACGATAGTCTTCTGCAAGATGCACGTAGAATCAAAGAAAACATCAGGGTCTACATGAACGCAACAGACAGGAACGTGAGTGCGAAGGTACAAAAGCACGTTAATGGGAAAATGCAGCAGTTAATAGATATAATGGAGACAATATATGATAAGAACTATGAAAAAACGTTTTTAGTACAACGTGTGGTAAAGGACACATTAGCTTCCTCTGAAATGTATGATATCATAGTAAATGCATTAGTGGAAAAAGCAGTACCTATGGTTATCGAGGGACTCAAGTCGGAAAGTAAAACCATACAAAGACCACTGTCAGAACCTCAGACATCTCGGGAGTTTCCATGCGTTAAAGAACAACCGCTATTAGCCGATGCCCACGCTATTATTGAGACCACGGAGAATGAAAGTTTCCAGGAAGTAAAGAAAAAGCAAAGAAGGAAAAAGGCTCTTCCACAAGTGGCCAAAGAGATCGAGGCCTCTAAACCAATATCAGAGGAAAGTTTGACCAAGAAAAGGTCTACACATCAGACTACGATGGCCGATATTGTTAAAGGGCTTCCATTAAAACCGATGGATACTACAAGACCAACTTATGTTACCATCGCTTCTCAAGGTAAAAGTGCAGCTGACATCATCAACAATCTGCCTTCTCCAACTGAACTAGGAGTCAAGGCGAGAGTTGTACGGGCGACCAAAGCTGGCTCAGTTTTAGTTTGTGTAGATGAGGGTGCCCATGCTAAAAAAATAATTGAATGGCAAAAATTAAAAGAAGTTGGGATGGAGGCAAAACTAGCCTTAAAAAGAAAACCAAAAGTGGAGGTAAAAGGAGTTCCCCTTTCATGGAGTGCGGAAAATCTAGAAAGGGTGCTATGGGAAAGGTTGGCTGCAAAATCGGCCGTTATTTCTGAGAACCAATTAGGTAATATAAAGCCATTGTTCTCATCAATGGCTAGAAATAAAATTACCAATAATTGGGTGTTAGAAGTACATCCAATGGTAAGATATAATCTACTCAAGGAGGAAATAATTACAGGAGGTTGGTGGTCACTGACAATCTTAGATTACCCCGATGCTCCTCCCTGTCTAAGGTGTCAGGGATATGGACATACAAAAGCTACTTGTGAGGCAAATGGCATAGTATGCAAGTGGTGTGCGGCGAGTGGGCATATTGCTAAAAACTGTCCCGCAAAAGGAAATAAGACCGCACCTACATGCGTTAACTGCGTGAGGGAAGGTGTTCAAAAAAGTAAGGCTAAACACCAGGCAGGAAGTAGAGAATGCCCAGTGCACATCAAGAGATCTCAAGAATTAGTGAGGAGAACTCACTATGATTAGACTCAACATCCTGCAGTTGAATATGGGCCGCCGGCATATTGTGGCTGACGAGCTTCGCGCCATGGCACAACGCTACGATATCATGGCGGTCCAGGAACCTAGCTGCCGTGGGAACAGGGTTACGGGGTTTGGCCTCACGTCAAGAGTTATAGCCCTGAGCAGTGGAGAGAGGAGGCCCAGGGCTGCAATAGTGATTAATAATCCTAACCTTGACGTGATGGATCTGAGGCAACACACCATGGCGGATTATGCATCTTGCTACGTTAAGTGGGGCAAGATTTCTTTCACATTGGTATCGGCATACCTACCTGTGAATAGTGATGTAGAAGAAAGCATATCCGCTATGGAGGCGATCATTAGAGAGATGAGGAATGTGATCATGTGCTCAGATACCAACTCCTGGAACACGGTCTGGGGGTCCAATATTACTGACAGGCGAGGCGCTAAAATGGGAAATTTCATAGGCAGAAATCACCTTGTCGTGATGAACGAACCCTCTGCCACCCCTACCTTCTCTGGAGGCATGGGGCAGAGTTGGATTGACGTCACGATCGCCACGCCTGCGCTTACGAGGTATATTGCTGATTGGACTCTCAGATCTGATACGAGTTCCGATCACGTTGCGATAGCAATTGGCCTGGTAAATGAGCCAGGATGTTCCCACGGTACTGATAAGGGTTTCGTCACTAAAATAAATGACTGGAGTGTCTTCAGGTCCTACCTGGAAGGAGTGATTGCAGACGAGGAGTGGGAAGCGGCAGAGATGGATGTAGTTGACAATCTGGACTACAAGGTGTCCAGGATTACCAACAACATTCGTGATGCTGCCGAACACTCCCTCAAGCACCGGAAGGCGAGGGTTCGACCTGTCCCATGGTGGACGCCAGCCTTAACTGTTCTAAAACGAGACCTCTACAAGGCCCGGCGGTCATATCAGAGGTGCAGATGCGAAGAGAGGCGCACTGTACTTCGCAATGAGTACAAGTCAAAAGCCAGGATATACCGAAACGAGGTTCGCTCACAAAAGCGGAAGTCTTGGGATGATTTCATCATTGAAGAGTCTTCGAAGAATCCCTGGGGTATTCCGTATAGGGTAGCATTGGGTAAGTTGTCCCCGATGCAGACTATTGCAGCCTTGCGGTATCATAATACTGAGGCAACCACCCTTGAAGAAACTGCCAATGTTTTCATTGAAGCAATATATCCCAGAGATGACCCAACCCAGGACAGCGAAAATGATGATTTTGTGAGACGCACCACGGTATATCCACCTGGTTCAGATTTGTGCCCACCATGGGACATTCACGATCTTCGTATTGCCGTGGATAAGCAGAAGACTAATCGTGCTCCAGGACTTGATGCAATAGATGCAGCGATCTTGAGGAACAGTATCACGTATATTGAAGACCGGCTGTTGAGTATTTTCAATGAATGTCTGGATATGGGATACTTTCCAAGAAGATGGAAGATCGCTGATTTGAGACTACTCTACAAGGGAGGAGATAGGGACAAACAACTCCCTAATTCATATAGACCTATATGTCTCCTCCCTGTGATTAGCAAGGTCCTGGAGAACCTCATGATGACTAGTTTACGGCCTGTTTTCGCTAGAGCAAGTCATCCACGGCAATATGGATCAACCAGAGGCAGAGGAACCGCTGATGCCCTGCTGAGAGTGCGCAGAGATGTTGAGGAGAGGGCGGAGCGGTATGTCATGTTGCTTCTTTTCGATATATCCTCCGCCTTTGACAGCGTATGGTGGCCTAGCGTGCTCCAGCAGCTGCAGAGGTATGATGCTCCTAGTAACTTATACACATTAGTAAGAAGTTATCTCCAGGATAGAAGTGTCAAGATTAGAGGCAATTACTACGAGGTAGAAGCTTCCATAGAGAGAGGTTGCCCTCAGGGATCGGTGCTTGGTCCTGCTCTATGGAAGCTCGTCTTTGATGAGTTACTGGGAGTGTTAGAGGAGGAGCGGTTTCCTGCCACTGCTTACGTTGACGACCTAGCTGCTGTGGTGGCCTCCAACAGCAGAGCTGGAGTCAAGAGAGAAGCAGAGCGATGCGCCAGCCTAGTCGCTAGATGGTGTGAGGGGAAGAAGATGAGGATGGCTGCTGCTAAGACTCAAGCCATCCTCCTTAAGGGAAAGACTGATAGGGCACACCCTATAACGATGTACATAGAAGGTCAGAGGATACGTCCAA